ACACACACACACACACACACACACACACACACACACACACACACACACACACACTTAGCTTGATCCTATACAACAGCTGCACTGCAGGCATAATATTGGCGACATGTAGCCATCTTTATAATCCCTCTCAGCAGAAAGAGAATGTCAGCCATTGTGCTTCTGTGTGTATACATTCTTGTGTGTTAATGTCTGATTTCAAACTTGACAGGAAAACTGTCATTTGTACACATCTGGGCCCGGGTGAAATTTCATCCAACAACACGGTCCCATCCCATCCTGTGACCACCCAGCTAACTTAGTATCACCCAGACTCTCCAACCACCCACCCTCTTTCACAGCCACTTAAATTCACATTCTTACAGACGTCGAGCCAGCCGGAAATGGCAGAGATATTTTTGCACTGAGAAAGAGGAGGAAGAGGGGCCAGAAAAACCTTTTCCCGTCTAAAAAAAAAAAAATCCAGGGAAGCTAAATCAACTAGGTAAAACTAGAGGCTTTAAAATCTATCATTTAAATATGAGAAGTCTTGTACCTAAACTGGATGAATTCAAAGCACATGCTATGGCTATATCAGAATCATGGCTGACTCCTGCTATACCAAATTCGTTTCTTTCAGTTGAAAATTATTCATTGTATCCTAGAGACAGTACTGATAGGCTTGGAGGTGGTGTTGCAGTTTACGTTGCAGTTTATGTTCACAAGCTGAGTCAGGCTTGATTTTTAATCATCTTTTCCTGTTAAATAAATAAATCAAATCAAAAACAGACTAAAGGCTCAGTGGCAAGGAGTTAGTCAGGGCTGAGGAGACAAACCCCCTCTGAACTATTCACCCTGCTTATCTCTTTCTCCAAAAGCTACTTGATCTTTGGCTGAGGTGATATCTGGGGATGATAGTGAGCTGAGAAATCTATGCATGGGACTCCACCAGCCTTGCCAATGATTCTAGAGGAAAATCAAGTGTAAAAGTGTGAAGTTGATTTATCTCTTTAAACTATAAACAACTCTAAGAAAAAAAAAACTCTGCATTGTGTAAGAATGAATTTTCCTCTTTTATAAAACCTTTAATAGGAAAATTCCAAATGTGAATGGTCTGAATTGTTGAAAAAAGCAATGCAATCCACTGAGATTAATTAGGTCTGCAACCTGGTAAAATATCGTGTTTAAATGAGATCCATTTATACGCAGGACCTCGAGTCTTTTCTTTGTTTTTTACTTTATCAAGAGCAAAAAATAAAAAATAAGTAAATAAAAATCCATAAATAAAAGTTGGAGTCTCAAAGGTATTCTGGCATATTTATTTATTAATGGTGTGAACACTTGGAAGTAAGCTCTTTTAAAGTCATAGTAAACCTAAAAATTCTAAAACCTGCTTTGTTCCTGTTGCCATAAGTTTTTTAATTCTGTTTAGTACGGTGTCAATTTTTAGCCTCCTTAACCATTTGTATCTTGTTCAAAAGTGTTTTATTTTGTCGTATCGGGTTTTACCTGATTTCATCTTGTCTCATCTTTTAATGTCATTTTACTTTGTTACTTTTTGTTCTTAAGACAGGTGCTGTATTTATTTTCATTTTTATTCAGCACCTGATCACTGTTTAATCACGTTGCATCTACAGTCCATGTCCGTGTCATAAGTCTTGTTTTATGAAGGAACTTGACTCACTTCACTATCATCAAATCTACCTGCAAGTATAAATAAAGTTGAATGAATTGAAGGCAAAAACATTTGTTAAACACCAAAGCAAAACTCGAAGAGGAATAAATTAAAGAAAGTAATGATTTACTTTAAGTTTAGTCATTGTTGGTCTGGGCCCACCAACAAAGGGAAGTTGAGGGGTCATCTGGTCCTCCTCCTGTTCCAGCAGGCTAAGTGGATTGTCCAACTCTAATGGGCGCGGGAGGCTCAATGTGGGAAGCTGGGGGTCAAATAAAAGAATCCCACAATCCTTGGCAGCCCGAAGGACTCCGGGTACCTCCTGAACACGGCTGTACCAACGCAGCAGGTGAGGAATCTGATGCAGAGCGCTGGCAGCATGGGCTTGGAGGGAACACTAAAAAACAGAGGCACAAAAGTAGAAAAAGATTTTTAACCCTTGTAAACAACATCTTTAAGTGATACATGCAAAAGCCAAAATTCACCCCTCTGGGTCAGATTTGACTTAACAAAAATTCCTTCAGAATTTACTAAACAGTAAAACTAAATTTATTTCTTGTGTTAAAATAGGTTTTTTTTCCAAGGAGACCATGAGGCCTTGTTCCAATAAAAAAGCAAATGGTACTTTTTGCATACCTTAACCTTTAAAATGGATCAAATGTGATGCAATCACACTATAAGTGTTAAGCGGATCGACTGATTTGTTGTGTCAAGCAAAGCAAGAGGTCAAGTTCCACCAAAATCTCAGAAAACTCACAAGTGGCCGACAAAGAGAAGAATACATATATATAT